GCAGTTTCAAGTAGGTCTGTTTCCATTAAGATAATTGCTTCCTGTATAATACCTTTTCAATTATATGATCAGATGATCTTAACAACACCTAAAGATGTTTTAACATCTTTTAAGGGGAAATAATTATTCCTGTTTTGTATTCATTATATTTGTATCAAATATGTAATATATTTATTTGGCAATGTAGAAATAAAGATCCCTGGGTTTGGTTTGGTAAGCTCAGTTTCTGAAGATTCTAACAAGTAAATCAGGGATAGGTGAAATAGTACATCTGGTGGTACAAAGGGTCACAGCATATAAAGTAATAATATTAGCACAAAAGCTCTACAAGAAAGAATAATAAACTATTTTCCTTCCACTTGACAGGCTGTCACCAAGCCAATAAATTGACTGTCACATTTTCAAGTTGAATGAATTAATTTAGATTAATTATATATTTAAATGTATTGGCTTGCATTATTATTATTATTTGTATTTTGAGCTTTAAAACAAATGCACTAAAAGTTTATCTCATGATTGTCTCATGTGATAAGATTATGCATGAGCCTTTTATGCCTTCTGTTTCCTTAAATTTCTTCACTGGTATGAATTACTTTCCTAATGTTGGAAGCAATAAACTTACTTTGAAAAGCTGCAGGAATAAGCATGAGAGAAGATGTGGTTATTATCTCTCCAGTTTCTTTCATCCTCTTCCTGGCAGGGCAGCACCTTTGCCTACACAGTGCATGATCTTTCTAGAAGCGAGATGCAGACATTCTTAGATACCATGAGGTGAACCAGCTATAGGAGTAGAAGGAACCTTATATTGACAACAGAGTAGAGCTACCAAAAAAAAAAAAAAAAAAAAAAAAACTGGGGCTCCAAAGATGTCACCAAATCATTGCCTTTGTTAATTGAGGATCCCAGCATGCCCTGCACTTCACAGTTCCACGACATAGGAAATTCATTGTATATAAACAAGTTAGGTTTTTGGTTAGAGATAAATGATCCTCGTTGATAAAGCCCTAACTACAGGGGTTTTGTAAAAAGAACACCAGAAGAGGAAGTTAATTAACAAAGTGTTTTAGAACTCAGCCATCAGTAATGTCTTAGCTTTTTCATAAATTTTTTATATTCAAGCTCATGGGACATTTCTCTTAATATTATGTGTTTTTCCAAGCTATTTTATTTACTGAATTCATATAAAATTAATGGCTGTAGTATTTTACTTATTCAACAAAAATATGATGAAATGGTTAAGCATTCTGTTTGTGAGATATTTCTCTTGCTTCTAGATTTTTAGTGGTATGTGTCATTATAGTTGCCTTCTTTCTGAGCCTGCTCTAGGATTTTTAATATTCTTTGTATCAAATATTCAGAACTGATAGGCTTAGATATTTCTAATCATCTGGATAATTCCCCAATTAGAGTGACTCACAGAAAAAAATAAATATTTCACTGTATTCTCTCTTTTTTTAAAAAATAGAAACTACAAAGTTTAAGAGCCAGAGGGAGGGTGGGCACCAAAGAATCAAGTTTTCTCAACACAACAGGATAGATTGTGTGAACTCACAAAGACTGTAACAGCATGCACCTGATGGGGTCCTAGAGCTGAAAGGAGAAGTGGACACACGCCCTCATCCCTTGCCCAATAGCTATCTCCAGTTGATAACCACTTGCAAATGAAAATTAAGTTTTCTCCCCAGCAGTCTCACTGGGGAAACAAACTAGTCTTAAGGATAGGCTGCATGCCCCGTAGTACATGGCCAATGGAAAAGAAACTCGGGGGCAGCTTTAGGGTATCTTGCTTCAGAATGTTGTGTCAGGCTTTTCTCTTTTTCTTCTTTTTACATTTTTCTTAACTATCCACCTATCTATTATCTACCTACCTACCTACCTACCTACCTACCTACCTACCTACTTATTATTTGCTCCGTTTCTACCCTACAGTTCTTTCACATACGTATTATAAAAAAATAAATTAATATTCCATAGCATAAATATTACATAAATCAATGAACATAATGTTTATATAAGCAAAATATGCCTATTTTGCTATGTTGAAACTGATTTGAGTTTTCACAAATATAATGAACTTTGCTTTTATTTATATATGTAGGAAATAGAACATTTTCCTTCCAAAACTTATTTCTTGTGCAGTTTCAAAGGAAACTGTCAATTAGCTGTTGGCTCATAATGGTGTATCTAAAGATACTTTAGTAGCCTCTTTTTTGTGTTTTTTAATTTTTATTGAAAATAGATTTTTAAATACAATATATTCTGATTATAGTTCCCTCACTTCTCCTCACAGTTCCTTGCCACTTCCCCTGTCACTTAGGTCCACCAGGTTTCTGTCTTGCATTAAAAAAAAATGGGCATATAAGAGATAATAATATATTATAATATAATATAATGCTCTCATAAAAACAAATACAACAGAATAGGACAAAAGAAATGAACAGAAGAAAGAAGAAAAAGGGCCCAAGAAAAGGAACATGAAACATATATAGCAGATACGGATACATACTCTTTTACATACTCAAGAATTCCATAAGAACACAAAAGCAGAAATAATCTGATGCCATTCTTAAGATTGTTTAACTTGATAGATGAAATCAGTTCTTCAGGTTTTTATTTCTGAGTATTAGTGAGGTTGAGATCTCCCCATAATAATGCTTCTACTGTAGATTATTGTATTGTTTACCGAGTGCTTATTTAATTTGCCTATCTTTTTAAATCACCATTCTGATTTCATAGGCTCTGAAAAAGCCAAAATAATTTAATGACATGCCTGGAATTTTACACAGCAGGTAAGTAATAAAGCCTAGTGTCAGCGCCGACTTAATACTGCTGCACATTCCCAGAGCTTTGACTCCTCTCTCGTAGACAGTGGATCCTGACCTCCATCACTTGAAGGGCCTGTCTGTGCCTTCCTCTCCAGCATAGCTTATGTCCTTCAGCTGCTGGTGTGTTGGGTCTCCGGGCATGTGATTTGCCTTCCATCTCAATAAGAGAATAAACTGAATACTCTCTCTAAGGCTTTTGCATTATTTTGAGTAGTGTCACTAACCAACTGACACTGTTAAGGAAACTAGGAATTAATATATTTAGTTGATTCCGTGAATGTGTGTATTTTAGTATACTTCACCAAAATAAAGCTAGCAGTCAGGCAATTGGTGTAACATGATTTGGTCCTCTTTGTTGGTTGGGGTTTTCTGTCCTGCCTGGTTCCCTGCAACTGTTTAGCCCCAAAGAAAATCACACAAAGATCTCCATAAGTTATAAGCTGATTGGCCCATGAGCTCTAGCCTCTCACTGGCTAATAACTCTCACATCTTGGTTAACCCATTTTTCTGATCTATGTTAGCCATGTGGCTCAGTACCTTTTTTCAGTGGGGCAGATCACATCCTTCTGCTTCTGTGGTCTGGGCAGGAGTGGGAGGAATCAACTTCATCCTTCCCAGAATTCTCCTGTTCTCATTACATCATTTCTACTTCTTGTCTGGTTTTCCTGCCTATATTTCCTGCCTGGTCAATCAGCGTTTATTTATAACATGATTGACAGAATACAGACAAGTCTTGGTAGATACCCCACAGCCCTGGCATCTCTAGCATGCTGGGGACTCCATTTCAAAATTAGGCTTCACTCTTTCAGGTTCATGTGCCCTCCTTGGGGCTTCCTTGCTGGGAATTTGCCAACCATACATTGCCTACCTCTGCAGCTTTCTTAAACCTTTATTTTTACATCTTTGATGCCTAAAATTGGCTTCATATGGGTGATGCTGTCATGTTAGCTTGCCAAACTGAAATGTAGCCTAGCCTTCTTGGACCACATTTGTATCTGGCTTGGTGTCATTTTGAGGCTGAGTCTGGGGAAACACTTCCATAAGTGGCCACTGTGGAGCAAGGAAACTAGTGGCCTTCTTAGAGCAGACTCCCCCTTTTCAAATGAATTTGAATTTTCATAAGTGGTAATCGTGTGTGTGTGTGTGTGTGTGTGTGTGTGTGTTTAGGGGGAAGTCTTGCCTTCAGGACATCTTTTTAAAAAAATCTTTCTAGTGACCAGTGTTTCTCTTTAACGGTATGAATGCTCTTAGTAGTTAAGTAAACTTTCTTCCCACCTAAAATTTTAAACGTGCTCATGTTCCTTTCCTCTCCAGGATACAAATACTTAAACATATTTTATTCTTTGACAATTTCACATGTGTATATAATGAATTTTGATCACACCCTCTCTTAGTCTCTTCATACATTGATTGCACCCCTCTTTATCATTTTCAAGTTATTTTTTTTTTCTGGTTCATTGCAAGGCTGCTACTTGGGAATTCTTCAGTAGATTATTGTCTGTCAGGCATTAGTCTGCCCCTGCCCTGCTTTTCTGCTTCCTGTATTCACCATAGGCATGACACTCATACCTTGCCTGGGCGGCTCTGCCTTTGGCTTGTCTTCAGATTCACCATTCTCTTAAGCTCTCAATAATACGCTGCCAAACCTTCTCAGGGGAATTGTTAATTTCAGTCATTTTTCAAAATTCTTCCTGATTATTTTAGATTTTGCTAGGTGATTTATGTTTCTAATCTGCTGCTGAAACTTCCAGTACTGTGCAGCCTTTCAGCTTTGATGACAAGTGAGAGATTATGCTTCAAATATGTATGACGTCAAGTTCAGATAAGAGAAAATGCTGGCTCCTAAAGAAAAGAATCCAAGACCCCAACAACTTTGGGGCCACTGTAACCTCACATTCTATAATTATATTTCCATTGTTAACCCAGTGATTAAGAGGTAAGCTGCAGTTCAGGGGAGGGTTGTTTGAGCTTCAGTGGGACCACAGATTGAAATGTGAGGAGATCACTGAATACTCACCTTGACCACACTTTGACACTTTTATCTCATGCAATATCAAAATATTGTAAATAACTGTAAAAATGAAGCATACTTAGGGCAAAAATGCAGAGAACATCAGACTTCCCATTCTGGCCTTTTGGTCTCATAACTTTTTCCCTATGCTTTGAATTTTCCAGTTACTTCAAGAAGTGTCGATTCTACACAGATTTTCTGGTCGCAGGATGATTACTCTAAATTACTTAATCTTCCAAGGTATGTGAAGTTCTCCATCTTGAGAAAGAATAGTGTGTGTGTGTATTTACATATATATATATACATATATATATGTATACATATATACCATTTTGTAGATGTATATTTGAGATCAAGTCTTTTGTAGTCCAGACTTGCCTCAAATTCCCTAGGTAGCCAAGGTTGACCTTGAACTCCTGATCCTCCTTCCAATTTCTGGAGTACTAGAATTACAGACAGCACCATTACAGCAGGCTCTTCTCATTTATGATTAAAAAGTGTTTGACATATGTTGTCAAAAAGCCAGTATAAATATGATTAAATAAAATCATGTGTGGTGTAGAGATCTACTTATTGTTAGTGCACACATCTGGATATACAGTTCAATGTTCACTGCATTTACTTTTAGAATTGACAAAGTAAAAACACTTCATCACAGTCAATATCATCAGACATGTTTATTTTGTAGATACACTTCACTGTAAATCCTTGTCCAATTTTACTTAAATACTAAGTGAAAGTATGCTGTATAGCTGAGGCAATATTGAGGAGTGTGTTCAAATATTTTATATACATTAATGATATTAGAGGCATTTGGGGTATTTTAATGGTACTTTTTATTGACCTCACTTAAAGTGTTTTAACAGACTGGCAAACATTTTAAAAGTGACTCTACCTGGAAGTGCAAAATGCAGTTTCATGAATATTTTATTTTGTAAGTCAGTTTATGACATAATGTACTCATCTAACAACATGTACAAAGTTGGCCTGATGGTATAAATTTAGTTCCACGTAAAGTTATGGTAATCCAAAAACATTTTCCAGGCAGACATAACACATGAATGGATTAAAAACCAGGATATTATCTAAATCATATTCACTTTTACTGAATTTAAATCTTAGTCTCGTCATAGTTTTCACTTACATAGCTAATGAATGCTTGTGTATAATTTGTGCTTTACAGATGGTATCTTTCTCGTTCTGTGTTAAAATACCCATTTGCCTCATCTTGTCAGGAGCTGGTGCTCTCATCCCATTTCGCAGATGCACACTGAGTTGCAAAGAGGTAGGTAATATGCACTTGGTAAGCTGAGTGATAGACTAGACTCGAACACCCTCACAGAGACGAAAAGCATAGGGAGGAATCTTGATGTCTAAACACTTTAGCAGTGACCTAGCCTTGTTTCTGGAGGTCCTGCCTCTGTAAATGTTCAGTAAAACCAAGACCAAGGATGAGGAAGTCTCATGATACCTTCTAAGTCTAGTCTGTTCACTGAATCCTGACCCCATCCCACCAAACAGGCTTGTGTTTGCTTCCCAAAGGGGCTCTGATTATGTATTAATATGTTTGAATTTCACAAATTATTCTTGCATGAAGCTTGTGGTTTTCAACACACCTCTTATTATCTGCGCTGCTCTAAATTTTAACATCTCCGTTCCCCAAGGTAACCACTTGCTTTGCTTTTCCTCTTTATGATGTGATTTGTCCTTTCAGTTGTAGTTGTATTCTTTGGTGTACAAAAGAGCCCACTATGTGTATTTTAAAGACATTCAGTCTTGGCTTAAATAGAAATTCATTTCTGTTTCTGATTTAAGGGTTATATACACATATGTGTGAATTTTTAATGTTGGCTATAATTAATGTATAGCCTATAAAAAGATACATAAAATGGTATTTTTATGTTAACCACTTTTATTGAAACCATACTTATTTTAAAGTGGGATTGCATTCCTGGGCCAAAATAGAAAAGATATGTTGGCTTGACTGATGTTCATGGACCTTGGTGCTGGAGGGTCCATTCCAGTCAAGTTACCTCCATATTCACTGTCATCATTTTGATTGGAAAGAATCTTTGTTGTTTTTGTTTGATGACTAACAGACTTAAAGTTATAAACCTGTCAATGTGTAGCATAGACAGGCTGCTTTGTAATGAGTTTATATTAATCTAAAGTTTTATAGGGTTAGATGAAAATGAAGTAAGTAAGACATATTAAATAGGCACTTAATTTTCATAAGCCATTTCTACTATATAATGTCAACTTCCCAATTTTACCACTGCCTATTTTATATAAAAAGGTAGCTAAAACATTGTTTTTAAATGATACTCATGTAACATACTGACCTGAATGTAAGATCTAAGAATGGCATATGCTATGATCACTTATTTTCATCGATTTAAGGCCTCTGGGGAGAATTCTGGAGTAAGTGGTCTATGGAACCAAATATTATACACTGCTTACCCACCTGGCCCGAACTGGGTTCAGAAGACAAAGTGCACTCATTGCCTGTGGAATGAGATGAAAGATTGACTAAGGCTAGCAGCTGCTCCCCTAGGGGGAAGCTGGATGGAGGTTGCACTCTCCCTTCCTTCCTTGACCATGTCTCATGAGGAAAGTGGGTTTTATGGGCTTTGGAACCAAACAGATTTGGCCTCAGTGGTACCACTGAAATGTGAACAGTGCACCTGCAGTGTGATGTTTTCTCACAGCAGAACTGATGATAGAAAATGCTAGAATTTAAAGTTCGAAAATGTAGTATTTGCCACAGGTTTCCATCTAATAAGTGGTACTTTTCTTCATTAGCTCTAAAATGATAATATGGATTCATTAATATTTGAATATGAAGTGTCCCTCACAGGCTCATGTGTTGACTACTTCGTGACACAAGCTCATGTGTCAAAGGCTTCATAGAAGTATTTTGGAAGTAGATGGAAACTTTGAGATGCTTGAGGAAGAAGTAGGTTCCTGGGGGCATGCTTGTGGCCATTACACCTCCTTTCTAATCACTTCCTTTCTTTGCTTTCTGCTGCCAGAGGTGACAACCTTCTCTCCCAACCCCCTTCAACCATCATGATGTACTGCTGAGCCACATGGAGCGAAGCAACCATGAGAGAAACATCTAAAGCCGTAAGCTATAGCAAATCCTCCATCCTCTACATTGTTTATGTCAGGTATCTTACCACAGCAGGACAAATAAGTCACCATCGCATAAAGGATTATCATATCTGGTCATATTTTATAAACTCAATACAAAGTTATTAACAAAACCATAAGGATCTACTAATGTTTGAGAACCCATTTAGACAAGAAATTTAGATAGTTTGATTAGAAATTAAAATATGTGACAATCAGAAAAGGGAGGCTATGAACATCTTTGTGTGGGGCGACTGATAAATGTCAGAACTTCACAGCTGAATCAGGAGAGCATGGAGCTCTTCATTCCCTGTGCTTCCTGGGAACAGGCAAAAAAGCACTGTGGAGACTGTGTCTCATTTCAGGAGGTCATCTGTCTAGATGTGATAGCAAGGCTTTGTGTCACAGGCTCTGGTAGAAAGCACTCTTGAATTCTGCCCAGCCATTCGCTAGGTTGACCCTTCAGGAGTTTTGAATGTCCTTAGTGGGGACAGTGCTGGCCATTTTTGTGATATTGTGATTTTAAAAAATTAAATAACCCCATAGACAAATAAAAATAAAATAGAATTGCATTTAGTCTAGAATGCAAAACAATAAAGAGAATAAGGAAATGAACATTTTTCATAAATGTATATAGAAATAAGTGAAGTGTAATTCCAGAAACTTAAGAAAAATAGTAAATTTTAATGAGCAAATAAAATATTTTTAAATATTAAATGAAATTTGGAAATGTTTCTACTTCTTAAACATTGAATTCTAACTAGAGTGGGAGATATTTAGAATGATTTTTACTTAACAAGCTGCAATAATAATTAATAGATGACTTCAGGTGTATTCATCGATTGTATTTGATATCACTGTGTCTGTATTATAGGTTTTATGTCCTTGTTAGAGAATCACAGGTATGCATTTCATGCATTATACACTGCCAATAGAGCACACCTTCATTTACATTTTTATCTTACTGAATATTGGAGTGAATATTCTCATCCTGATTGTCAGTATCACTTAGAATTTGTTGGAATTTATTCAGCTAACATAGGCATTTAAAATTAGTTTTTTTTCGTACATGCTTTTTGTGATAAACAAAAGCAGTGAATGCTTTACAAATGAGAGTGAAGTTTGACACCTGGGGAAATATCAGCAGCCATCCCTTTTAAACACTTGCAGCAGTCTTGGAGCTACTCTGATGCTATGTGTGCAGCTCAGTTCACTGATTCAGTATCAGGTCCTTAGGCGCCAGCTGCAGTGCTCAGTCATATTACTCAGAAACATGAGATATACAGAAATACTCAAAATCCTAAAATAAACTCTAGGATTTGAAATTTTTATTTAAAAATGGTATAATACAAGGAAATACCAAAGCTGTAAACTTGATTGCATTTATTATGAGCATTATTATATTTTCATTAGAAGCTTTCTTCAGGGTGAGAACTTTTGCGTCAAAGTGGTTTGTCCTTTTATCAGAACTGGCCATTGATTGTCTCATCCTTTCTCAACCATTACAGCAGTGAGGGGTTTGATCAGGGGGAGGTTGTGGTCTGCGTTCTGGGTGTGTGAAATGTTAGAAGTCTGAAATGAAATGCAACAGGCCAGCCAAATGACAGTGGAGCTTCCCGCCACTGCTTGATACACAGGTGTAGTGGGCTGTATGCTATTCAGTAAACAGAACGTAATATTTGGTGGGTGATGCTTGAGGAAGTGACGGCCTCATGGTGTGAACTAAAGGTATAGAAATTAGAGGGAAAAGCTCACTGACTGCTGGCTATGATACAAACTTCTTTTTGAACAGTACAGTAGATTAAACTGGGGCTTTCTGCATGTGAGGTAACTCCTCACATTGAGGAACGTCCCAGCTATTAATTGATATAATTATAGCAAAACTGAGGTTCTTGTGCATGCTAGGCAAGCACACTTCCACTTAGCCACTTCTGTCCTTGGCTTATGATGCAATTTTGAAAGTGCTAAAATGGCATCAAATTAGTGCTGTGGTAGAGACTTAGAATGTGGAGAATTAGGTAATTCCCTTAATTACTACAGAATCCTCCTCAAAATTCATGATAGCTGGGCTGGCCATTGAAGAGTGAATACTCCCCTACCACACTGTAGGAATGCAGCTTTATAATCATCTGTTGCCCCCAACAACAGTGCCTGCATCAGCCTTCTCGCAAACTCCTGCAGGTCTTCAACTGAGACACTGTCTGAGAGACTTCAGCTTCAGGATCTGTCATGTGGGGACCGAGTTTACATCGAATGGTCACAGATTCCATTTCCTATTCATCCCCCTGCCTCCAGTACAGGAATCAGAGCCTGGCTGGAGACTTGTACTCTTATGTATACCGCCTCCCTCCAGAGAGACTGAGACCCTCACTTCTGCTGCTTGGATTCTGATTTCATTTCTCCAGAACTCCTGCTATGTTGTCTGTCTCTGGTGCTGGGGACTGAACTTTCCTCAGAGGTCCTTTCATGCTGTTCCCAGCTGTCTGTCTGTCCACAGCATTAATAACTTCCCTAATAAATTCTTTGCTCACAACAATCCATCTAAATGTCCCCTTGAACCCAAATCTGAGGCCTTTAAGTATTGAAAAAAGAATAAAAGTCTTCAAAGAGTTTAGAGAAAGGTCTAGGTGTCCAGTAGCCACTGCTAGCAGAGGACTGTGTCCTCCCATAGCCCAAGCTAACTTGAAAGACAGCTTATTCTGAGAGGGATTGGCTGCTCTGTGCAATTAAGGTTCTCAAAACAACCAAATGAAAACAAGATCCATTCATAAATGAAAACATTAGGTGAATCCAAAAAGGAAACAACTTCTCTTTGTAAACTTCTTAAAAGTCATATTTTATAATTTTTGGAGCTACTCTGTACCTCCTATGAGCAGCTCATATTTTCATATCTAAACATAGGTTGGAATTTTGGAAATAAGATCATGTAATTAATTTGTAAACACAACTGCCTTTTAAACTAGATTAAATCCCTAGTAAGTATGATGTTCTTATAGGGCAAGCATATTAGACTTTTGCAGATTTGTGGGATTTAAAAAATAAGTGTATTAGAATTGTGAGGCTTGTGCAATCAAATAACTTTAATTCATAATATCCCAGAGTTATTATGCAGTTAAAGTTAACTAGCTTCTGTTTCACTGTTGAAAATTTCAGCAGACTTTTGTGCACACAGGGAAGAAGAAAGTATATATCCGAAACAGCTGTGAAAAGTGCAAATGATGTACCAAAGGAGCAGTGTCTGGTTCAATAACAATACCAATCTCATTACTGAGGATACGCAGTGCAGAGAGCTGAGCCTCATCCACGTCTGTCTTATGTATGATGTGAGTTATTCTAATGCAGTCACAGTCCCTGAGCTCCATCTCCCAGAAGTGTGCCTGAGACAGTGTGGGGCCCAGTAGTTTACATCAAGAAAGTAATTCCCCAGACAACACTGTGCTCACTTCCTCTGCAGAAGAATGAGATTTGTTGATATTCTCATAGCATTTATGATTCATTCCACTGCAATAATTTGAGAACCCATTTTCCTGTCTCTAGGGATCCCATTGCCAAGGGAAATAGGAAGAGTGGGCCCCATACCCTGGAGCTGTACTTCACCATGTCTCATGTGGAGAGAAGAGGCAAGTTGGTATGTAGTTATATGTGCCTCAATAGTCAGTGTATTTCAAGAGGACAGGGCCATTTGCTGGCAAGATGCTAACCTTATATGACCTTTATCTCAAGAAAGTCTACCTCTGAATAGTGGAGGGATAGATGGTGCCTAACAGTCCTTCATACTAAGGTTTAAGTTTTGGCAAGCTGAAAACAAGTTCCTGAGATAACTAGCTAAAATACCCCTGAGTATTTTCATGAAATTGATGGACATGCTAATCTACCTGACCCAAGACATTCTTCAAAAGTAAGATTGAAAATATAAGCATATGCAAATGCCTGGTAACTTTTTTATTTATTATAATGATTTAAATTTTCAATATATGAGAAATGTATCAATTGTCATTGACTTATTCAACAATAAACTATTGAAATTATTTTATACTGGAAGGGTTTGCATGTATGCACTGTGCTTTTTTTAGTAAGTCTTTTTAGAAGTATTCATTTTCTAGTCTCCAATTGGGTTTATAAAATAGTAGAGTGTAATTTCTTAGTCCTGTCATGCTGTAGATAAAAACACAAATAAAACAAAACAGCACTCATTTCCTTTTTGTCTCAACAATTTTTTGTATAATAGGTACTTAATTTTAAAATTTAGAAAAAAATACATGTAGGGAAATATACATAAAGGTTGAAAATAGTTACTTTAGTTTTGTTTACAAATATTAAGACCCTGACTGCCTTTCTCACTAGTATACCAAGTGTTGATGTGGTTCATAAAAGGGGAACTGTTCCACAGTCACCGTGGCATGGTCAGTTAAACCTAGCAGCAGCTTTTTTATTAGTTCATGTGCAAATGAAAACAATTTGGATTATATATGACTGTAGGAAAGACTGTGCTTAGCCTTCCTTTTCACTTGTTGAAACACAATTGGACAAAGAATTCTACTTGCATCTGCACTACTCTTGATACGAGACAGATTTATCATCTCACTCTGTCTGTTATTGAGGACAGACATCTACCTCAGCAAGCAGTATCAGTGCACTGAGCCAAGAGTGAGATGCTTATAGCATAGTTTGTATTTCAGGTATAAGCTTGTTCAGGAATTTGACTTTCCTTAACTATTCTCCAGAGAATTTAGGGAAACCCCCACATGCACACACAGAATTCCTTACAGCTGCAGCTTCATGGGCACTAACACAGATGTCCCAGCCTTCCTCTTCCTCAGGGAGTGAATTCACATTGTGCCTAGGAAAACAATAGGTGATGTGAATGAAAATGGAATGCCTGAAGTGGTTGTTTATGGACTACTATGAGAACTGAAAAAGAATGTGCTAGCAATCTTTATACCTGCATTTCCCAAAACCTAAGGACAAACTGATAAAAGAAATGGGTTATTAAAATATGGAAGCCTGTTTATGTGAATTAGAATGTGTTCTGGGGCAGCTTTAGAAACACAGCACTAGTTAAGTTGCAGTTGAACAGGATTCTTCTATAAAGCAGTCATTATTTTCTGTTGTCCCTTAACAGCGTACAGTTATTTCATGTGCAGGGGTAAAAGATTCCTGGGACCACCGCAGCCCATGTGATGGAATGAAGGCTAACACAGTGAGGACGTTGACAACAGCATTGTTTAATATATAAGACTCTAATAGAGGATTATAGAAACACATTTAATATAGAATAGTGAACTTTAGTGTACTTACTGTGAAAATAGCACATTTATTTAGAGAGGGAGTTTATGTCCAAAGTTCTTATTGATGTTTTGAAATACATCCATTTCTGTCTCTTGCTGTAATTGTTACCAAGAAAAGGAAAAGTACCAACCATTTTCCTTGACTCCTTATCAAAAGTCTTCTGTTTTTTGATTGATATTTCTCAGAGTCATCTAGAATGTCACATTAGTAAAATATTCTAGAAAAACATGAGAGTTTTTGTATTGTGAAGTCTACATTTGCCTGCATTCGTGTCTTGTGCACATGGCTTGCCGCTCGATTCTCCAGGTCCCCTCCTCGTAGGTGCAGTGGCATATGGTGCATTCGTCGGTCTTCACCTCTCTGCCAGCTGGGATGACAGCAGTTTCTGCAAAGCAGTTTGGACCTGAAATACAAAAAAAAAAATCATTGCACACTATTGAGTGCATAAATGTATAATGTACAAATTAGGTAGTTAGCACTGCAGAGTGTTTCATTTATCCTCTTATGAAGGACAATTAGAAAAGCCAGAACTAGAAACACAAAGAACACTTTTTTCTGAAGTGAAACCAAGTTACTTAAAATTTTAGGACAAAACATTACTATTTTCATAGGTAGAGTCATTTGGTGGGGGCCTTTTCAGAAGTCACATCTATAATCATTCGATTTAACTAATGCTGTGAAATAATTACCTAAGAAGCTTCAGAAAACCAGGCTCACTCTTCATGGCAGTTGTAGGAGAAACAAGAAAACAGTCATCCCACAACTTTCCCACATGTATTAAAACATCAGGTGTGTCACAATGACCAGGATTTCTGCTCCATTGCTGGCTGCAAGCCCCAACAACAGAGTTCTTTAAGTTATGGGGCCAAAGAAGTAAGTCCCTAGGTGATGATAATGCATATCTGGAGACCACAGTTAGAGCAACACCCCCAGGTACTGTACAGGGATATATTTTCCACAGTCGTTAAGAACTAAGAATGACTGTAATTCTCGCTTGTAAAACCAAGTAAAAGCTTAGCACAAAGGTGTACCCTCTGTGCTTAAGTTTAGGTCTAAATTCAAGGGTATGAAAAATGAGCAGGAAAAACATTTCCAGTATGTGTTGAAACTAATGCTGTTATAAAAGATTATTTAATTGATCTTCAGGGAAAGGGCTTTTAGGTCAGTTCTATTCATCAATAGGCACTTACCTTCCACCTCTTGGGGAAAACTAAGGGCAATAGCAAACCAGAAGGTGCCATACAATTTTCTAAAGAAGGGAAGCAACCAACTGTCTTACCTAGCTTGAAACACGTGATCCACAACAATGACTAGCATGTACCCTAAGGGTACAACAGTGGCAGACATACCTTGATGGTAACCCACAGCTCTCTAATAGTACTTAAGTTCCACTCAACAAGAGGGAAATCATGCCTAGTACTGGAAACCTAGGACTAGTGAAGCCATGGACCTTGGAAGAGAACTTACAATGGCCACTTTACTAAACCAGAATGATCCTTTACTGCATTCTAATTATTTGTCCTTATACCCACAGATAAGTGTAGTCCTTATCTCTCATCAAGGAGACTTCTCTTTGCAATAGGTGGAGATCATTACAGAAAAGCACAGTCAATCAAGATACAGAATTGTGGAACACATTACCAACTGCTAAATTTATGATACAACTTCCGGACCTATGGTTCAGAGGTCATTGCAGAAGAGGGGACAGAGAGCTTGTAAAAGTCAGAGGACCAGGGAGTTTGCTGTGATATTATGTCTTTTATGAATGTCAGAAGCTGCATTCATGAAGCCTCACTAATAAGGCTGCCTAAACATGACATGAACATGGATGATACCAATAGACACACAAGTTGGAATGCTTAGGAGGCCTCAACTCTAGACAAAGAACAACAAGCAGCTAAGAAATAATGAGAGCAAAAGTGAAATCATCGCCCCAGGGAAGAGCATGCCATTTAGTGACAAAGGATCAACCCTGAAAACATAGACACATACAGGTAACATTATACATGAATCAGCAGATTGCATTTATATATCTAGAACACACATGTAAGAAAAGCTTTTTAGAGGCCATGAATTTTAAAGAATAAAGGGGCAGTACAAGTTTGAAGGAAGCTTCAGCAATTATCCCCTTGGGATGATGGTATGGAGGAGATCTCCTGGCAGGACTGGGAGTGGGTAGGCATGAATAGTTGATGGGTTGGGTTGTGGGGTGGGTGGAGGGGGAAAGTGCTGAGAGAGATGACTAGAAAGGTAGGTTTTACAGAGGGGTAGAATCCTGATACAAGGGAAACTTCCATGAGTCGACAGGATGGCCCCAGCTAAGACTCTTGGCAGCAGCTGATGCATAGCCTGAACTGGATATCTCTGGTGTTTAGATTGGTGACTACCCTACCTGACATCGGAGAGCCTTCATCCAGTGAACAATGGAGGCAGATTCAGAGAACCAAAACCAGACATTGGGTTGAGTTTGGGTAGTCCTGCTGAGGAGAGGAAGGGGGGATTTTAGGAGTCATGGGATTTGGGGACATAGCAAGAAAACCCACAGTTAATGGCTAGACTGGCTCTTGGGAACTCACAAAGTATGAACCAACAACCAGGGAACCAGCATAGGATCAACTTAGGCCCCTAGCATATGTGACAGTCGTGTAGCTTGGGTTCTTTATGGGACCCCTGTTAATGGTAGCAGGGTTTGGAAATATATTCCTTATACTGAATTGCGTTGGCCAGTCTGAATACAGTGGAAGGTGTCTGGTCTTATGACAGCTTGATATGCCATGCTTTGCTGAGGCCCATGGGAGGTTGGCCCCTTTCTGAGTGAATATGGAGGAGAAGTAGATTAAGGGGGGGTAAAGAAATGGGAGGAGAGGAAGGAGGGGAGATTATGATCTGGATATAAAATAAATTAATTGAATAAAAAGTTATAGATTCAGTTTTATTTTCTCTCTTGATTTTTGAGCTAATTAATTTTTCCCAGCCCAATCACATTTCCCCTCCCTTGTCTCCCCCAGTCCTTACCTCTAACCCACCCCCAATCCACTCCTCCTCCTTTCTTTTCAGAAAAGGGCAGCCTCCCATGTATATCAGCAAGCCATGGCAGATCAAATTGCAGTAAGACTAGGCATTTCTTCTTTTATTAAGGCTGGACTAGGAAACCCAGTAGGAGGAAAGGGTCCGGAAAGCAGGCAACAGAGTCAGGAACAGCTCCTGCTCCCACTGTTAGGAGTCCCACAGAAGACCAAGCTATACAACTGTAATATTTGTTCTGAGGGCCTAGGTCAGTCCCATGTACCTCAGTCAGTTGGTGATTCAGTCTCTGTGAGCTCCCATGAGCCCAAGTTA